AGCGGAAATAAGGGTGATGGTTCGGGAAAAGGTGGGGATGGTTCGGGAGATAGTCCCCCTCCTCGATCCCCGTTTGAAGGTATCCAAAGGACTTTACATGTGCTGGAAACAACTTTACAAAAACCTTCTATACCAGAGGTTTACCCTCAGGTTTTAGCCTTGCCTATCGCCCGAAGACCCCTGTTTCCTGGATTTTACAAGGCTGTTGTCATAAAGGATCCGAATGTCACCGCTGCGGTAAAGGAATTGATGAAACGTGGGCAACCTTATGTTGGTGCATTTTTGCTAAAGGACGAAGAATTAGATGTAGACACTATAACAGACATTTCTCAAATTTATAAAGTGGGTGTTTTCGCCCAGATCACAAGCGTTTTCCCAGCTAATGGTGGTCAGGATGACAATTCATTAACGGCCGTTCTGTACCCACACCGACGTATTCGTATCACCGAACTTTTGCCTCCCCTTCCAAGTGGGGTCTCGGAAGCAGCCATTGTTCCCGAATCCGCAAAACAAAGTCCAGAAACTATCAGCAAACATAAGGGTAATTAATTAATTAACTTATTTATTTTTGCTGGAGTTTGTTTCTATGTGATTGATTTCGAATTTCATTCGCGCATTTCAGAACATGAACCGCAATATGCTACCTCTTTCCTGGAAGATTATAACGTCTCGCTTGTCAATGTAGAAAACCTTAATGATGAAACATATAATAGGAAGAATCAAGTGATTCGCGCTATAACATCAGAAATTGTCGCTGTTTTCAAAGACATTGCAACCTTAAATCCTCTTTTTCGTGATCAGATTGCCAATTTCTCAATGTCTCAATCTGCGGGAAACGTATTTGAAGAACCGGCAAAACTAGCCGACTTCGCAGCAGCAGTTTCTACGGGCGAACCAAACGAATTGCAAGAAGTTCTTGAAAGTTTGATCATTGAGGAGAGATTACAGAAGGCTTTGCTTGTTCTTAAGAAAGAGTTGGTGAATGCTCAATTACAAAGTAAAATTAGCAAGGAAGTTGAATCAAAGATTGCCAAACGCCAAAGAGAATATTACTTGATGGAACAACTAAAAGGAATAAAAAAAGAATTGGGAATTGAATCGGACGGTAAAGATAAACTTGTTGAGAACTTTAAAGAAAAGGCCGATAAATTGGCAATGCCCGATGGTGTTAAAAAAGTTTTTGAAGAAGTAAGCAAGAATTCAAAATGATTGATAACCGTGGTCAAGTTTAAATTCTCATATCTTCTTCTTTCACTATATTAGGAAATCAACAAGCTAGCTCATCTGGAGCCGGCGGCTTCAGAGTTCAATGTCACGCGTAATTACCTTGATTGGCTCACTCAAATACCATGGGGTCAAAGATCTCCGGAGAATTACAATATTAAACATGCTATCAAGGTGCTCGACGAAGATCACTACGGCTTACAAGACGTGAAGGATCGAATTCTGGAATTTATTGCGGTCGGTAAACTAAGGGGTACCGTAGAAGGAAAGATTTTATGTTTTGTTGGTCCCCCCGGTACGTGCAATTTGGTTTCGGTGATTAGGTGCCTAGATTGGTTTGGCACGAAATCATGTATTGAACATTCCCCATTAATCCTTCTATCAAAGGCGTCGGGAAAACCTCCATCGGAAAATCAATTGCTAGAGCTTTGTCGAGACGATTCTATCGATTCAGTGTAGGTGGTCTGACCGACGTTGCTGAAATAAAAGGTCACCGTCGTACTTACGTTGGTGCCATGCCTGGTAAAGTTGTCCAAGCGTTAAAGAAGGTTCAAACCGAAAATCCATTGATCTTGATTGATGAAGGTAATTAATTAATCTTTTTATTTTTTTTTTTTGTTCTTATGTTCGATTTTAACCTGATTTAATTTGACGCGTTTCTTGTATAAAAGTCGACAAAATCGGTCGCGGTCACCAAGGTGATCCTTCCTCTGCACTCCTGGAACTTCTAGATCCGGAACAAAATTCATCTTTCTTGGATCATTATATGGATGTTCCCATAGATCTTTCAAAGGTACTCTTTGTCTGCACTGCCAATATAGTTGATACCATACCCGGTCCTCTTCTGGATCGTATGGAAGTGATACAGTTGTCCGGATATGTTGCTGATGAGAAGGTGGCGATAGCCTCAAAGTATTTAGCGCCAACTGCAAAAGAAATGGCAGGATTGCAAAATGCTGACGTTCAACTTCAAAAAGATGCCATTGAGTTTTTGATCCGATCATATTGTCGAGAAAGTGGCGTGCGTAATTTGAAGAAACAGATTGACAAGATTTATCGTAAAACAGCTCTCAAGATAGTCCGTGACATGGATGATGAGTTACCAAAACAGGAACTCGAGGAACTTGAGGAACTTGATGGAACTAAATCTGAAACCCCTGGGACACCAGAGGATGAAGTATCGACAACTACCGAACAACGAAAACCCTTGGACGTACCTGACAACGTACATTTCATCATTACTGCCGAAAATTTAAAGGATTATGTAGGTCCCCCATTGTGGCATTCTGATCGGCTGTATGATCAAACACCGCCTGGTGTTGTCATGGGCTTGGCTTGGACGAGCATGGGTATGTTCTGACTTGAACCACTTCATAACGCTGTCAACAAACGGAAATTACACTGATTCTAATAAATTAAAATAAATCAAATTTAGGTGGATCTGCGTTGTATGTCGAATCTACTTTGGAATCAAATTTATCTCAATCCTCAAAACCTTCACTTTCTAAAACCGGACAGATGGGTGATGTTATGAAGGAATCTTCTACAATTGCATACACGTTTGCAAAAAGTCTAATGGCAAAACGATACCCGGAAAACAAATTCTTTGATAAAGCTTCTATTCACCTCCATGTTCCAGAAGGGGCAACACCAAAAGATGGTTTGTAAAAACTTGGCTTCACGTTAATTTACTATATTAATTAAATGGCGTGCAGGAGATTCGATTTTTAACAAACTTCTTACGATTAGGTCCATCGGCCGGTATCACAATGGCAACATCTCTTCTTTCTCTTGCGTTATCCAAGCCTTTGAATCCAACTATTGCAATGACCGGCGAGCTTACACTAACCGGTAAAGTTTTAAAGATTGGCGGTCTTCGTGAGAAGGCTGTGGCTGCTAAAAGATCTGGAGTATCAACCCTAATATTTCCGGAGAGCAATACTAGCAATTGGGAGGAATTACCTGAAAATGTTAAAGAGGGTCTCGTGGGTGTTCCTGTTGCTTGGTACGATGATGTATTTAAGGTAGTGTTTGGGGATACAAGTAGTGATGACGCGAAAAATGCTTGGGCCTCAATGATCAGGTCATTTCCAGAGTATTATGAAAAAAAAGAGGATGGTGTTAGATTGGACATTGAAGCGCGATAATTCTACTATTATGGACAAGATAGCGTTAAAGGACAATTTGAAAAAAAATCAAAATCTCCTGCTAATTTAATTTGAACACAAAATGACCATTTCTGTAATTCAGTAATTTATGATGATTCACGTTTTTCTTATAAAATATGTAATTGCAGACAGAAATTGTAGAATAAAAACTAAAATAGTTGAAAATATTCTTTTCACCAACTCGAAATGGCGCCTTTTATGTGGTAATTGAAATATAGTATATAAATGGTCCGCGTCAATTTAGTGATTGAAAATAATGCAATGGATCGCACATAATATTAAGTAAATTTGCAAGATCAAGAATTGGAATATATTGGTCAACAAATATTTTTATAATACTTGTTTTTTTTTTTTTTTTTTTTATGCTATATTAAACATTTGTAAGTGATACATGTATTTCATGTTGCTAAAGTTAAATCACTAACTTACTCACTTGTTTCTTTCAAAAGGAAAAAATAAGTTATATATACTGTAAATTGAAAACTAAAAAGAAAATATTATTAGAAATAACATTAAAGAAGGAGAGTACTAGAACCAATTGATTGAAATGCTACAAAAAACTTAAGATATAATGAAAAACTTATTTTTTACTTTAATAGATTACTTATTAATCACAAAAATGAAAATATGCAAATAAAAGTAGTATGGATTTAAATTGGAAATATAAGAAAGAAAAGCAAATTTTAAATAAAAGTAAATAATTGGTTCTTATTCACAAGTTCAAACTAGTGACAATTATCACAATTTTTTTATTGGTTTTAATAAATAGCAAAATTAAAATATTTATAAATAGTCAAGCTTTTATTTTCAAATGAATGATACTCAAGAAAAAAAATCTAGGAAATATATACAAAAAATAGTTAAAAAAAATTTTTTTTGGTTCTTATGAATATGAACACTAGACATTGTGGAAAAAAAAACTTATATCTAGAAATAATAAAGGTTATGATAATCTTTACAATAAAAAAACCAAAATTTTTATAAATAAAATTCTAAAACTTAATATAATAGAATAGAAAAATCTTATATTTTATAAGTTATTATAGAAATTAAGTCAAAGGTAAAGTTGAGTGGATGGGTAGTTATTAGATGTCCCTTCATTCCTTCCCCTATTTCATTTTCTTGTAAATACTTTTAACCTTTCCCCCTCGTTTTCCCCCTTTTTCCTTTACTTCTCTTTTTTCATACTGACTGGTCCTTGACCAGTACAAGTAACCCTTAGCTACAGATGGTGTTGAGTAGCTTGGGCAAGTCCTGGTAGGTCAGGCACCTCTAACAGGTGGCAAGAAGCCGATCAGTGAATTAAATCCTAGGTAGTATCAAACCAATGGCAGTGGGTAACCAGCAATGCACCTTCGAGTGTATCTGATCAATTCTCTCTTTATTAGTAGAAGAGAGTATTTATACTAGGCGGTCATATATTTTTCTTATTCTAATTAGGTTAAACTTAGATCGAGTGTTATAAATAGATAGTTCTTTGTACTATTTTCTCTCTAATGATCTATAAATCCTTAGACAGTACAGGGAAATATTCATCCTGATTGTTCCTAAATATGATCTTCTATTAATAAAGTGGTTGGAGAGGTACAGGATGAGCCAGTGTTAAAAATATATATATATACAGTATATATATATAAATTAAGTGATAATATATAACAATAGATAATTTTAGACCTGTGGGTCTATAGCAAAGTGGTTAGTACTCCACAGGTCAGATCACAAGATACCAATTCAACTCCTGGTGAAGGCAGCTGAATAGAATTAATATGGTATCTAGCGCCATAATCTGTAATATGCTGTTTCTCATAAAAAGCCATTTCACATGCTAGTCCAGTGGGCGTTGGGATTGTGATCTCCAGAAAAGGTGTCATGGTATGACGATCATCTGGTAGGAGCATGATGGTCACCAAGATCAGTAACACGAAGCACTAAGCCCCTCAGGGATCGTTGATGGAACTTTAATGGGCAAATCACTGGTGCTATCCCTATGTAGGAGTTGTATTCTGCTTGGTAAATAACCCCTAGATTTGGTAGCTAACGCCAATCGAGAACCCGATAAATAAGTCTACTAGGAGATTCAAGAGTTGCATCCCTATTGGTAAATAACCCCTAGGTTTGGTAGTATGTGTCAACCATTGAATGAAGTTTTCAAAGCATTGACTAGGCAGTGCACAGATACATTTAGATCCATTCGCAGCTGCAGGGACCAAAAACGTGATTAAAAGATGGTAAGGTATAGAAGGTTATCGTGGGTCCTAATAAGGGGTAGAATGCCAGGGTCTAGATTAGGTTAGGTGGTTTAAAACTAGTGATAGGATTTCCACCT